GACAATATGTGATCTCTACCTGGTAGCACTGGAGGCACACCAGCATGAGCTGCAATCTCTTTGGGGCACTAAGTAGGGGCTTTGCCATGACTGTCTCTAGTGGACTGTGGTCTGATTGCACTTTTACTGGATGGCCATAGGTGTACTTGCCTATAGATTCAACAGATGGACTCACTCCATCCTAAATACCACACCCAGAAGCACTTTTTCTATTTGGGTGTACCTCTGCTCGGTCTCGGACAGGACTCTGCTGGCATAAGCAACTGGCTGCTTCTGCAAAAGAGCTATACCCACTTTTTTTTCTGATGCATCACACTGGAGTTTCAGTGGCTTTCCTGGGTGATAGTACTTCAGGACAGGAGCATATACTGTCATTTGTTTCAGCATATTAAATGCTTGCCATTGGGGACCTGCCCAGTCCCACTCAACACCCTGCCTGGTGAGCTGACGTACGAGTTCCACTATTGCAGCCAGTTGTGGACAGAACTTTGACAGAAGATTAACCATTCCTATTAAGTGCTGTACCCCTTTCATGTCAACTGGAGCCTTAATCTAGTTTAGATCCACTTCCAGTCCCTCTGCTCTAAGCATCTGTCCAGTGTATGTCACCCCACACTGTTTGAGTCACATTTTGGGGGAGAGGAGTAGTTTTACGTTCTTGTCCCTGCATCTCTGTAAAGAAGCTTGTAGTTTTCTGTCATGGTCTTGTTCAGCTTCTGTATCCTTACTCCTTTCACCTAAAATGAGTATATCATTTGCAATCATTTTCACCCCCAACAGTCCTTCCAATGCTTGGATGAGTTTTCCCTTACACTTCTGGTGCGAAGCTTATACCCATTGGCATGCACAGTCATCTGTACAGACCAAATGGTAGTGCAAAGGTTGTCAGCATGCTGAACTCTTTATCCAGGCTAATATGCCAAAATCTGTTCTTCATATTTCAGACCATAAGGATTCTGGCTTTTGAAAGTTCTGGCAAGATGTCATCAATTGCAGGCAGTGAATACTGGTATTTTTTTCAATACCTGGTTCAGTAGTTTTGGGTGTATAAAGATGTATAATTTGCCTGATGGCTTCTTTATCTCCATCATGCTGCTTACTCAGGCTGTATTGGCCTCTATAGGTGCAGACTTTGAGCACCTTGCATACTGAATTATGTAATGCCACTGGAATTTTCCTTTGTGGAAAGTACACAGGTTCCACTGTAGGGTCTACTTCCAGCTGCACCTTTCCTTAAAGCACCCATTGCCTTTGAAACATAACCACATTCTTTTAAAATTGTCTTCGTTGTCCATGGGACTCCCCCTTTTGTTTTTTGCACTGCAGCTATAAAATTCGGATGCTGTATCCTGATCAAGTCTATGGCTTGTCTGGATTTGTTCCTTAAGAAGGGTCTGTGATGCTTTTCATCCACCACCACAAACTTCAGTTGGTATCATCTTATTTTTTGGGTTAGTTACTATGAAGTCACATTTTCCTTTGGGCTGCTTTATGCTCTCATTGTACATTATTAGAGCATGCCTACTTTTTGCAATGAGTGTGTTCAAGTCCAATTCACTCTGAGGAATCATTTTGCACAAGGTCCAGCTGTCCTGAGCTGAAATCACGCAGGGAGTTTCCTTATTAACATTGTTGCATGCAGAGTTTGGTACTGTCCCTTGTTGCTTTTCTGTTCCGACACCCTTAACCTGATATGCTCTCAGACTCAAGGAGAGAGTCATGATGTCACCATGTCTGATGGGCCATTCCCTCTGACTGAATCTTTCTTGGACCTTCTTCTGTTCTTGCACACACTGCTAAAATGGTTCAACATGCTCCATGACTTGCAATGTTGTCCTTGTGTGGGGCACTTCTCCCTTACCCATTCATGCTGTCTCCCACAGTAAATGCATCTCACTATGGGTGTGGAACTCTGCCCGCCTGCTCTCCTTTGCTGTTGTCTCACTGCCTGTACTTCCGGGGGTGTGGTGCCTTCTAGGGCTTTAATCCTATTTATATTCAAATATTCAGATGTTTTAGACTTTGTTGTAGCTAAATGTGGGTCCAATTTCAGTTCAAGTGAAGTTCAGTTCAGGTTCCAAGCTTCCCTGCAGTTCAAGAAGGTTCAGAGTCACTGTTATAGTTCTGGACCATCTCTTTAAAGTGTACAAAAAACGTGAGATGTTTATCATAATAAGGCTCTTTGAAAATAACCTGGGTGGTTTTATTCACCTTTTTCCTCACGAGAGACCTCACAGCAAGGATGGAATAACACTATGGAAACTTACCATCTACTCCAACTGGACTCCGTGTTGAAGTCTCATTACTTCCATGTGCAAAAAGAAGTTAAAGCCAACTACAATACCCAAGATTTCTGGCATTCTTAGTGTGTTCTACATCCACTAAAAATGAATTTCCCTTTTACTTTTTAATTTTATGGCACAGTCATATCAGACATACAGTTCTTAATTCACTGCACAGGGAATATGTGTTATAAATGAATAATGAAGTTAAGTTTTTATTATGCCTAAAGCAATACTCTGCCAAAAAGGAGTTATGACAGAGAATGCGTTTCATAAATTATATTTCAATTTAAACAAATTTGGTAAGTTTTTAAGTATGGATATTATTATCTGTTCATACCAATTATTTTTAAGAAAGTTAAGAAATTGACAAAATCTTTAAACAAAGACATAAACAATGATAATAGATTATAAAAAAGAGAATTCAAGCTGAACCAATTAAATTATTTGTATACCAAGAAGAAATGGAGCTTGACTAAATTCTGTGCCAAACCCTCTTATATTTAGATTTGTTTTAAAGTAGACTGTACGGTAAACTAGTTAAGATTTTCTAAATTATAGTCTCCAGATTAAATATGAATGTAAAACCAAGAGGTACTATCCCAAAATAGATGCTTTTGGTATAGACAGTATGTAATGTCCCTTGGGTTTAAGGCTTCCTAGGTTTCATTTTGTTTTCTAAATAAATTATATTAGGCAAAAAGAAGTTTCTGATATGGATAATGAACCCATGACAGATGAATCAGATGCTGGGCATTTTTTTCTTAACAGAGTTTCAAAAAGATAAAAAGTAATTTTGTAGTCTGAAGAATAATACGATGAAATGATTCTCCCAAATTATATGATGGAATTTTCTTTTTGTTATTTTATCCCCCCCACCCCGTTTTTGCATGGATACATGTGATTTATTTTATTTAAATTAATTAGTATGGGACTTTCACATGACTTGAGAAGTAACTTTTTCTTAAGCATTATTACCTCCTAACAATTATTCAGCAATTGCAACAATGAATACCTTGCTGGATTTTGTTTTCTATTTACTTATTTCATATGTGGCATATTCAACTCTTTAAACAAACTGCAGACTTTAAAGAGGCTTCAAAGACTTTAACAGTGGGCTATACTGTATTTTGGTTCAGTTTCTCCTATTTTTCTTTTTTAGTAGGAACATAAAAAATCTTGACGTGTCAGATTCTGCATTCTCCCCTGCCCTGCATAATATATATCACTTTTAGCAGTACCTTACATCTCAAGTAGTGCTATTGTAATCAATAAGGCTACCCCCAGGGTTAAGACACTACTATTCAATGTCAAGAAGTTTGGCAGAATCAGGTTCTAAAGAGTGAGATTATGGTTTAGTGGGGAGCAATACTGTCATCCTGACAGGAGTCTGCATTATCTCTTAGACTGTTAAAATAAATTTAAACTTTAAAGAAATTGTTTGTTTCACAAAATAAAATTTTTAGATGAAATAAAATGTTTTAGTTCCTTTCAAGAAAGGTTTTTCTCCCTTATACAGATAATTACTGCAATAAATACAAATGCCAAAGGTTTTTTATTTACCAACATAGGAGAAAAAGTGAAAGCCTAAAAGAATACATTAAATGTAAAACAACCCAAAGAAATATTCTTACATTTGATATTTTCAATGCACAAAGCTCAGGAAATGCAAAGATACGGTTCCCCAGCAACTGTAAATCAGCCCTTTTATGCTGTAACGTATTCCCATGTTTTTTTAACTAGTGCTGTTGCGCCTATATGGAGCTCCACTTTTGCAGGATTGGGTCCTTAATAAGTTGTCGTTTTTAATACCATATTGAACCATTACATCATAATGTGGTGAAGAAGTATGCTTTGGTCTGGTGGGTTTTAGTTTCTAATTTAAATATGCCAAAAAAAGAAAAGAGGAAAACATTTCTTAAATGATCCTTTTTGAGGACAACAATAAAATGTAAATCAGGTTTGAAGTAAATTCGGCAAGAACTGGAAACAATACTGCAGGGAGATTTTTTTTTTCCATACTTAATAGCACATGCTGTACATTTTTCAGTGAATGTTTTAAACGTAAATCCTTACCCAAGCTAAAATTAAAGTTTCCACTTCAGCAGCTGCTATTAGCATAAAGTACTTTAGATGCATGGTATCCTTATTGTTCTGACAAACTAATGTACACTGAATTGAAACTTCTGAATATTTAAGAGCAATCTCATAAAGAAGGCTTCAGAAAAAGATTTTGTTTAGTTGAAGAAATACATCAAGAATTCAAAGGACATAATATTATCCACATAAAGGTATGGTGTATTTATTATTTCTATAAATAAATATTATTTATTTGTATTATTAAATACAGTTTATTTATATATTTTTATATATAGGTACAAATTAGGGTAAGAATATATTAGGCAATCTGGCAAACATTTATTTAATTAAAACTGAAACCTGATCTCGTAAATTCCAACCCTTTCCCTTATTTTACATTGAAGCAAATGACTTCAGCTAGTAGAATTATGAAAGTTACATTAGTTCATCTCCTTTCTCCCAGATTCATTCTCCAGAGAACATACAGTGATAGCACTGACAAGGTGGTGAAAGCCGAGTGAGAGATTTTAACATTTACTTTATTAAAACCTTGCCTTTAAATCTACTGATAAATATTCTTTCTGCAAACGTACATGGCCAGGCATGTAAAACATAATAACTGTAATAACTTCACTGTACCTGAACAGTGGAACTAATCTCCGATGCAAAACCTCCTGTCAGAGGGGCCTCATGGCTGATCAGCAGTCGCCCAGTCTTCACCACTGACTGAAAAGAAACAAGAATATCTCTTTTTTTAAAAATCAGGTAATATTTGTATCACACTATATCTCTGTAGCAATCTTTTTTACTATATCACATGAGAAATAATACAAATTCTGTAATTTTAAGCTGCAATGATAAAATATAAATTGTTCTCACTGCCTCAATACAACATTTTATTTGCACAGATGAATGGGCCTAAACAGCCAAGTTTTGATATTAGCAGAATGGGAGTGAATTGCTAGATTTTCTTCGGGAACAGAGCATCAATAGCGTATTTAGTTTTTAAGCTAACAATGAGAATGGAATTATATTCCATTAGTTTGAATTGACCTTCTGAATGTAAACAATGTCATTTCTGAGGGAAAATAAAAATTAAGTTGAAGAAAAAACTAGCAAGGGCTCATTGTCTGGCTATACCAAAAGAGGGACAGGAGATGCTTGATATGGTTTTAATCAGGCTGCAATGTTTGTTATTAGATGTCTGGGACAACTTGGCAGTTAAAAGTGCACAGTGAAGATAACGCCATGTTCATTCAATATCTACCCAGGGGGCTTCCGCCAGCTCCCCTCTTTTTCCATCCAGTTCTCCCACTCAACCCATTGCTGGGACTTTACCATCTGCCCTCGAACTGGGGTCAAGGTGGGCTATAAGAAAGGGGGGCGTGGCTCTCTTCCGTACCAGTCATAGGGGCCCCGAATGCCCCCCGTTTTGATCCTTTTACCAACATCCCTTTTTAAGTTCATTACCAAGTCATTTATCTGGTCACTGTATCCCTTCCTTATGGAGTACCTGCACTGGGCATCCACCCCACACTTACATAATGAGTCTAACTTCCTTTCTTACTCACCATAACAAAGCCCTCCCTGAACCCTCTGTGGAGGCAGGCAAAAAAACCCAACCCTACTCCACCTAGGCCAATCTGGTAGTGAAGGAAAAATTCCTTCCCAGCCCCTCTAGAAAGGAGCAGCTAGCACAAAGCCCACAGCAGGTCCTGCCCAAACCTGGTATTTTGTCACCTCAAATGGCAGGAGGGCAGGTTCTGCTCTTCCTGCTCTTCCCACCAGGCTTGTCCCTTTTCAACTCCCCAGCCCTTCTGGTACCTGGGGATGAGTCAGCGTTGCCCACTGATCCACTCCCCATTTTGCAACAGCTTCTCCCTTCTGCCCCGCCCCCTGACCCGTAAAGCACTATTCTCGTCCATCCAGTAAACTGGACAATGGTCCCTCCCCCTCTTCAAGGTGTGGTGAATCCTGAAGGATCAGGTGATGACATCTATAGGATCAGGTCATACATAAAGCTCACAAACCTTGAAAATATTCAAATAAAAGTTTGCTTGCTAAAGAAAATTGAGAGTCATAAGCAAGAAGGCAGTTATTTTTATGTTACAACTATAGGCAACATTTATTATGAAGAAGACAGAAACAATATGCAAATGTTAGGAGATTTAATGTGAACTGCTCAAAAAATAGCTACATAGCACATAGTATATACCATGAGTGTCATACAAACAAGCAGTGGTTCATGAAAAAGTTTTGGTTATGGCAGATAAGTGTTTATGCTGGGTTTGCTGTGAACCATAAGGACAACAGTTAAGTGACTTTAGCCATATAACCAGTGCAAGACTGCAGTATATCTGACCATCATGAAATGTGTTGTTGTAACTATTTGCTAAATTTTCTCGACCTGGACAACACCAGATACCCACAGAGTCAAAATATTTTGACAGTCATGTTTCACTTTTCAAAATACTCATTTTATAAAGTGCATATAAAAGTTACATGAACTTCTGGAGTAGCACGGCAAAAAAAAAAAAGGACTTGTATATTAATCTTTCAAGGCCTATTGCAATCAGATTTTTAAAGCGAAGTACAAGAAGCCCCAAGAGTTAGGTACAGCTTTCCTAACCGTTCTGCTCTTTGATTTAAAATCTGAGTGGAGGCTACTGTAGCAAAACCCTCAGAGACAATTTCTCCATCCAATAAGGCAGCCAAGTGATATTTCTTGAAGCTAAAAGGTAACTCCTCTTTACTATAGAACACAGATTAAACTCTGATTTGAGTAGGTCTCATTTCTTCAGGAGCCCAGGAGTGCTTTAGTGGTTTTGAACAGCTGGACCACAGATGCATTGGCGAGAGGCAGCCCTGTAAGTGCTGTATGCACTATATTCTGTAAATGAAGCAGCTTTGCAACAGTCACAGAGATACAAGACAAAAAATCATTTAAACATCGGAAAGTAATCTGCAGTTAAGCAGTCTTGAATTTCTTTTCACCTGCACTGGAAACTCTCATTAAAGAGTAGGAGCTATTAACTACCCCATAAATCTGCCAAAAATTCTTAGAGATAGTTCATTGCAGAACAAAATGTACTAATCAGCTTACTCAAGTTTTTGACTGATGAGATAAAGAATTTTACTGAATCATTTTTAAAAACTTTTGATTTTTTTTAACAAAAGGACATTTTGTTTCAATATTCTTCTTATACAATTTTGTTCTGAGAACGGTGTGTCTGGAATTTGGAGTGTTCCAAGCTATTTTTAAAACTACAGTACACTTTTTATGTTTTGAGAATTTCACAACATGAAACATACACCCATCATATCAACAGTAGAAAATAAAAGCCCAACTGTGGAAACCTTTATTCCTGTGAGAAGTCCTTACTTGTACAATCAGTCCCATTGACTTCAAGGAGATTGCTTGCATGTGTAAAGACTGTTAGAGTGAGTAAGGATTTGCATGATCAGACCCTAAGATTTCCTCTGATTGCTAAACGAGTTTTAAAACTGGATGGAGATTGATCCCAGTGCCACATGACAAATGATGGCACTATTTCTCAGTAAAATGGCAGCAATCAGATTACTATGGAGAAGTGCATCATACCATGTGACCATTGAGAAGCTGTGTGGCATGAAAAGGAGTAACAGGATTTATTTTAATTGTCATTGTCCTCCTGAAATTACTAAAACCATTTCATTTTTACATACCTAGAAATATACCTTTACTTTTAGAAGCAAAGGGACTAACTGATAGATCTAACTGAACTGGGCAGATATATTTCTTGTACCAAAATTTAATGAAAATAAGGTATCTACTTTGAAAACGTAACAAGGAGTCGCAGCGTGAATTGCCTAATTTCTGTATTTGGAGAAAAGTTCAGCTTCACAAATAATTGTATTATCTACAACACATGATGAAAAATTGTTAACTGTCGCTTGCAGAGGGATAGTGCTTTGAATAGAACATCATATGATCATTTATTTCTAAAATTTTAAAAAAAGATATGTATTCCCTCATAAACCTGGGGTCAAAGTCACTCCATATTTGTCTAACCAAGTATGCAGTCTCAGGGATAATTGAACACAATCCCAATTCACAGAAAGGCAAAGATGGTCCAAGAGAGTGCCCTCATTCACCAAAGACATGCATAACATGCTAGCAGAAGCTCTGTAATACAGCACAGCAGCATATGGCAGTAGGGACCTCATTCTACACTTACTTAAGTCAATTGGAGTTATACTGGCATAAAAGTGGAGAAACACAGTAGTTAATCAGGTGCTTATCTTTTAAAAACATTGCTGGCATTACTCTCCTCCCCACACACCACTCTGTCTGACACCCCTTAATAGGAGAGTTGGGGAAGGATGTTAGAAAAGAATGAATTTCACACTCCATGCTGTAATTTTTTTCTTCTCTTTTTTGCCTGGTGTATGTTTTGTTTGGATTTTCTTCCCCACCCTCCATTTTACAGAACCTTTGTGTTTACTCTAAATCTCACTGGCTTTCACGTGTTCAAAGTAGAAAACACACACATATTTTACTTTATGTAGAGGATTTAAATAGGGTTACCATATTTCAACAATCAAAAAAGAGGACGGGAGGAGCCCCGCCCTAGCCCTGCCCCTATCCTAGCCCCGCCCCCATCCTGTCCTAGCC